CGCCTCTCCTTCCTTTCTTCTCTCTTTCCCTTCCGTCTTTCCTTCCCTCCTATCCTTTGCAAGTCATTACTGAGCATGGGCCATGATCTAGTCACCTTTATGCCATCTTCTACCATATATGTCTCTATAATCCCAAGAGCTCACCCTCAGAACTGGATGGGAAGATGATGTGATTATGAAGTAGCTGGATTGGGGCACATGAAATTGTCCTCTCAAAGAGGCTGGATCAGCAGGAGAACTGTCACCTTTAGCAGGAAAGGAAAAGCCCTCAACTTAGCTTCTGCTCAGGAACAGCCCTTTAGCTCTATTTTAAGAAAACGTCAAATGCAGGCCTGCACCTGGGGTCCACTCCCCAGAGAGGTGCATCCCAGGAAGCAGTTTGCACTTCCTCCTGTGCCCACCTGGCTGAGAGTTCAGGCCACCTGCACTTTCTGGGCACCTGCAGCCCCAGCACCACACTGTAGTGTTGTGTGGCATTCAGTGTCCCTGGAGGCAACCTCCCAATCTAGAGCTGCTTGCCTGGGCCGTCCAGGTTTCCTCTAGAGGCGTCAATTACTGTTTTGGTCAGCGCTCTATTACCAAGTTGCATGGGTTTTACAGGCCTTCCCAACCCTATTATTTTTAGCCTGTTATTTTTAGTGTGCAATTTTATAGAATGCAATGGTTTTCAGGAATGTATGTACTATGTTATTGTGCAAAACCTGTCGTAAGCCAATACTGCTTATCTTTCACTAAGCTATAGCATAACCATACCCGCAGGACAATAAGCGGCAGTGAAAAAACGTAGAGGTGTGTGGAAAAATCCCCGCTTCAGAGCAAGTGAACAAAAGCAAGTTGCAGAACAATGCACATAGCATGATGTTATTCGTGGGGGAGGGGAAATAACCTTCAAAACAACACCTTTTAATCTCTACGGGAACATATATTCCATGTCAGTAAGTTCAAGGGAAATATGCTAACTAATTTGTCCTAAGTGGGGGAGGGGTTCCAGCACCATTGCCCTTGAACCTAGGTGAGGGTGTCTTTCCCTTGGCACCCCCTCTGGACCCTTTTCTTAACCAAAGATACTACCATTTAAAGGAGCTCCCCTTGTAGAGCATACTTACGACCCCAGAATTCTCTTCCTGAGCCCATTTCAGACCCACATGGGACTCTTTTCTAGATCTTTTCTCCTGGCAGCTGCTGCCTTTGCATCTACCCTCAACCATCTATCAAGGGATACAGGGGTGTGAAAAGGGGTGACAGAGCAGGAAGCCTGCCCCAGTCCTCTTGCCCAGCCCACTAATGTTAGAGGCAGGACGAGGTGCCAGGAGATAGATAGGTTCTCTCCTTCTGTAGACTTTATCTGCAAGGTTCAAGTGTTACAGGGAGAATTATTTTTGTATTGTTCGCATACTGAACAATTAATGAAACCATAATAAAGAAAAACCTTTAAATACTCCATGCTCATTCAGAAATCGGAACTAACAGTCTTTATTGGCAGCTCTTGATTATGGCTCGTGGGGGCTAAAGGGGAAGGACAGGGAGGAACTGAAGTCATGAGGGAAACAGAAGTCTCAGTTACTCTAAGTGACAGGTGTCAATTACTAATTTTAAAGAAAGAAAGCATCTTTCAATGGCTGTATGGGGTTATGGGGCAAAAGTGGAATTCCCCAGAAGCAAAAGCCATAGCAGTTAGCAGAATGGGGTCCCCACGTCCACCCACTGCCTCATATCCAGCACATACAGAGCCGGCCCCAGAGGAGCATCCAGGAAAGTCCTGAGCTGGTCCTGTTCTGCCGCACCGCAGGGCAGCTGTTCAGAGCCCTCAGTCAGAGGGGCCACCAACCAGGGGATTTCCTGTGGGTGGAGCACTGTGTAGGGCCCCTGGGCTATTCTGAGGTGTCCCCCAGCTCCCCACACCCAATTCCAGGAAGTCTGCCTGGCATTAATCGGAAAACTGCTATCTTGTCCTCAACTGCATTCAACAAAACTAGGTGGGAGTAGGAGGAGCACAGACCACCTGGTAATGAATTGAAAGAGCCCAGAGCCAGGAAGCAGGAGGCTGGCCACCTAGGTATGGGAAGTGGGCAAGCCACTTAACCTGAGAACTACTGTGTCCTTCCCACGGGGTGTGTGTGTGTGTGTGGGGGGGTTCAATTAGAACAATAGTTCTTAGGGCAACTTCAAAAGGCTATTGCAGAAGTTAAATGAGATAAGCAAATGACCCAATATTTTTAAAGGACCAAAAGGCTGGGGATGAAGGTTGGTGGTAGAGCGCTTGCCTAGCATGTACAAGGCCCTGAGTTCCGTCTTCAGTGTTGGAACAAAAGCAGGAGGGATCAAAGACCTTCACATTCCCCTCACCAAAGCAGCATAAGTGGTGAATAACTGTGTGCAAAAATGTTCCACATCACTAAGGAAATATGAATTAAAACAAGGAGATACCAATACACAGTTATT